CCCCCCACCCCGCCCCCTGGCGAGCTTTTTTTTCTGAATGTATGTATGCATATCAGATTACGCGTTCGTGAGCGGGGTGGAGGTTGGAGCAAAACATGGGTGGGAGACAGGAGAGGTTGGAGGGTGTTGAGGGAGCGAGGGGCGGGAGGGCTAAGGGATGACGGTGTCATGTCCTGCAGCGAGCCAGCAGCGATGCGATGCGATGCATCGGAGCAACGGGGTTGGGCGGCGGGTGCAGTAGCGAACCAGAGGGCGGTTTGGGGCTGGGGAGGAGCAGTCTATCGAGAGGCATAATCAAAAGGAAATTTGGCAAAAACATGCGTGACAGGTGGCTGGCAGCAAGGAACAGGCTAAGGTTCAGGGTTGGGGGGGGGAGGCGAGGGCAGGGTCAGAGTGTGGTGGTCAGCATGACGTGCGGAGAGAAGCGGTTGCGACATTGTGTGTGTGTGTATGTGTGTGTGAGAGAGAGAGAGTGTGTGTGTGGGTGTGTGTGCGCGTGTATGTGTGTAGTGTATGCAGCGCCCGCGCGCTGGAGGCGAAATGGCGGGATGGAAGGCTAGGCAGTGAGCAGTAGCAAGCAGAGGGAGATGCAGTAGATGCCGGGGACAGGAGGGTGCAGAAGCAGCAGAGGAGCAGCAAAGCAAGATGCATGTGGCAGCGTCAGTGCGGCCCATGATGGCGGCATGGATGGGGACATGCCACTGCGGACGGCTCCCCCTGAGGAGGTCGGCTGGCTGGGGCAAGAGGCGTGTTGCAGCCGGCCATGTCGACAGGTGTGTAGGCGAGGGCATGTAGGGCGTTGAGGCAGCGCGGGAGAGGGCTCGGAAGCAGCAGCGGAAGCAGGCAAAGTCGGTGGGCGTGGGCGGAGGTGCAGGCGTGCGGGTGCCAAGGCGAGGTTTGCGGATGGACTATCGGAATTGCTTTGTGGCTGGGGTGGCCGTGCAGCCAGAGAGGCATGCCTGTGCCAATCGTGCCTCGGGGCCATCCAGTCTGCGGCAATGGGCTTGCGACGATTGTCGTTGAGGGCGTGGGGCGCGTGTGGCAGGCTGGTGCTGGCTGGGCTGGAGGCGTGCAGGCTAATTTTGGCGTGCACATGAGGGTCCCTGACATGGATCGAGTCGGTGTCTGTGTGTGCATCCGCCCGGGCCTGCTGCCAGCCTGCCATGCTAGCAGCCGCCCACTTGGTGTCCCACCACCCCCCGACCAGCAGTTTGCCGTTTGGCACTGCGAGACTGGCACTGGCACTGGCACTGGCACTGCCTGACAGCACCCGCCAGCCCCAGCACGGCAACACGTGCCAGACGGGCCCTTTGCCGCCGCACCTCGACACCCAGCCCATGCCGGCCACGGTGCGTGGGCAGCGACAATGGGCCAGACAGGCGGTGCTGCCGGCCGAGTTGCGAACATCAGACGGTGCCCAAGAAGGCCAGTCGTCGATGGAGTCCAAGCGGCACTATCCCTCGTACGGCGCCCCGCTATGGAACGGTACCTTTTGATCCCCATCTGTCCCTAGTACACAGTAGGCTCGCTGCTCGGTTGGCTGACGGCGGCGCACTCCTGACTACTGCTGCTGCTGCTGCTGCTACTTACCTGCTTGCTTGCTTGCCGGTCCGTCTGTCGGTCGGCCATTGCCAGCTACTGCCAGCTACTGCCAGCTACTGCCAGCTACTGCCATCCGTGCACTCATTCTCTTATACTCTACTCGCTCGCTGGCCAGCCGTTTGCTCCACCTGCCCGCCTCTGCCCTCGTCAACACCCACCCGGTCTGTTTTTGTTGCTACTGCTACTGCTACTGCTGCTGCTGCTGCTGCTGCTGCTGCTGCAAGACACCGCCGCTCGCTGCCTCATTGCATACGCCGCCTGCCCTGCGCTGCTCCTGCTTCTGCTCCTGCGGCTCACCACCCCCTACCCACCCACCAGGAACCGTTCCATGATGCCCGCATGAGCGCATCGTCCATTTGCATTCCCCCCTCCCCCCCGGCCCCGACAGCCTCCCGCTTAATTGGCTGCAATCCAAACCCCCGTGTTGCCATGATGATGATGACGATGACCGACCTGGCCCTGGTACCATTTGTGCCTAGCCAGCACGGTCCCGTCGTTGAAACACGGCGATACGAAGACACCAGTCCAACTCAGCTCATCCACCACCATTCACCGTCTGCGCCTCCCTCCGCATGCGCCTGCGCCCCCCTCCCCCGTCCCCTCTCGCGATCAATACCACGCCGCCACGCGATAACGCTCGTTTGATGCACAACTAATTCGACTTTGTAGACGATATCCACTCGCTCCCTCGCTCACCCGTCCGCCCGCTGATCCTCCGCTGCCGCTGCACCACCTCGGCTCTTGATCGCATCCATCGCACCCGCCACAGACTCCCCCCAACTGCATCCGCCCTCGCCGAGTTGCCTTCTGGGTGCATGATACTGTCGCTTCACGGTTGAGAGAGGCCGCTGTAGCCAGTGGCGGGCGCTCCTTCCACTGCAAATTCACAACAAGCAGCACCACCATGGTCAAGCCAGGTCTCGGCCTCTTCACCGCCCGCCGCAAGTCGCAGGGCAATGTTTTCGAAGAGGTCGATGTTGCCACCAGCCCCGACACAACGGCTCCCCCTGCGCCCCAGCCTGCACCTGCAGACTCGGGCGGCTTCCGTCTGCTGAGCAGGACTGAAGTGGAAAAAGCCAAAGAACAGCGCAAAACACAGGAGAAGGAGCGTTCTTCAAAGTTCCCTCGCTTCAGCAGCCTGGGTAGCAAGAATCGCAACCAGTCTTTTGACGACGATTCTCCAGGCTCGTCTAAGCGGTAAGTCTCTACCCGCTAAGTCATAGCGTCGGCCGGACTGACCCTTTAATTAGCGACAGCAAGTCAAGCAGTGGGACTCAATTTTCCACTTCGAGACCCTATGCCAATGGGCAGCATGGCTCCACATCTACACTCCCTTCTTCCACCGACGCCAGTTCAGACGATAATCTTTTTACAAACATTCCCCGTCCTGCCCTCCAGCAACACAATAGCTCCCCTGGTCCCCAC